CATTCCCAGTCCTTTCCCCCCATGCAAAATGTGGGTTTTCTCCATTCTGCCCTTCAAATGATGCCCCTGGGACACCCATGGGTGTTCTCAGCTCTGTCCTTGCCCCTGTGTCCTGTCCTGATCCCCTGTGGTGGTGTGGGGGTTTAACTCCCCTGACACCCCCAGCAGGTTTTCTGCACCCATAGCAATTCCTTAGGGAATTCCCTGGTGCAGAGGGACACGAGGTTTGCTCTGCTCAGGTGGAGATGTGCTGTGTGTTGTGGTGGGAACTGGGGTACTGCAGTGCTGGGGAGGTCAGCAGGGAGCAGAGGTACCCAAAATAGAGGAGGAGAGTAAAAGAAGCACAGGATTGTTATTGAACTCTTAGGAAGGGATTGGGATCTTCCAGTGCCAGGAAAGATGGAGAGAGACTATTGACAAGGGCTTGAAGTAACAGGACACAGGGAATGGCTTGAAGCAACCTGGGCTAGTGGAAGGTATCCCAGGCAGAGAGTGGAACTGGATGGGATTTAAGATCCTTCCAATTCAAACCATTCCATGAGCCTATGTTGACTTCACTCACTTGTCCACATGTGCTTCTGGATATCACTTTCTCCTGCTCTTATTAACCTTGAAGTACATTCTGTCCCATACCAGCTGTGATGCAGCTCCCTTGCTGTGCCTTTCCTTGCCCTGATGACCACAGCAGTGCCAAGCTCAGAGTGCCAGGGAACTTAAGTCCCAGACTGGTTTGGTTGGGAAGGGACCTTAATGCTCATCTCATCCACCCCCTGCCATGGGCAGAGACACCTTCCACTAGCCCAGGTGGCTCCAAGCCCTGTCCAGCCTGGCCTGGAGCACTCCCAGGGATGGAGCTCTGGACACCTTCTGGTGCTGAGGCCCTGGAGGAGCTGCTGAAGGGCAGGAGCAGTGTGGCCCTGCTGGGCTGAGACCCTTTGCCCTCCTCTTGCAGAGATGCTGCAGTACACAGACGACACAGCCATGAGCAGGTCGGTGGTGCAGTCACTGTTGGCCAAGAAGGAGTTTGACGAGGTTGACATGGCCAAGAGGTGAGGACGAAGCTCTCTGAAGGTGAAAACATCACTGTGACTGTCTGTGTAAGGGCACAGGGGCTGAGGCAGAGTCACTGGTAATTTGTGGAGGGAAAATAATGAGGGAAGTGGTGGTTAATCCTGCAATTTGTGCTTGGCACTGCCCTGGACCACATGGCAGCATCAGCTTCAGTGTGGGGTCAGAGTCCTCCCTGGACTGCAGCAGGATGGGCCCTCCTCCATGTGTGTTCACCTCTGGGGAGGAGAATGCCTGGAAAGTTCACAAACGTTCAATTTCATGTTTATTTGTTGCTGTTTATGTTTGCACTGCCCTTAATTTAGGGAGGGAATGGGAGTGAGCTCAGCTTGGGTTTGTCTGCGATCCATTTCCCTCTCAATCCCAGGCCCTGCAGCATTTGGTTCCACTTAAGGGAGAGCAGTTCTTTGTTTAGGAAACTCTTCCATTGAACTTGAACAAAAGACTTTCCCTGTGGTTGTGACCCATGGAAATGTTTCCAGTTTGCTTCTATTTCGAGGCAAAGCTGAGGGAAACAAGTGGAAGGTGATGTTTGTCCTCCCTTTCTCCTGATTGCTGGGAAGTGTTTCCCTGAATCATTGCACCCTGACTGATTTTTCTGTGTCTTAACTCACTTCACCTCGAGGCTTCATACAACCACAAACCAGGACCAGACAAAGCCCCTGTGTGTTTTTCCCTCTCTGCCCACCCCAGGTTTGCTGAGGAGTACAAGAAGGAGCCCAACAGGGGTTATGGGATGGCTGTGGTCAACGTCTTCAAGAAGCTCCTGAGCCCCAAGTGCAATGATGTGTTTGAGCCTGCAAGGGCCCAGTTCAACGGGAAAGGCTCCTACGGCAACGGAGGGGCCATGAGGGTGGCTGGAATCTCCCTCGTCTACGCTGACGTCCAGGATGTCAAGAAGGTAATGCAGCCAGATGTTTTCCCTGTGAGGGTGGTGAGACACTGGCCCAGGTTGCCCAGGGAGGCTGTGGCTGCCCCAACCCTGGCAGTGTTCACAGTCAGGTTGGATGAGCCTTGAGCAACCTGCTCTGGTGGGAGGTGTCCCTGCCCAGGGCAGGGGTTGGGGCTAGATGATCTCTGAGCTCCATCCCAGCCCTTAACACACTGTGCTCCTGTGAATTCTGGGCTGCCCTGGGGTCCTGGTGGCTCTGCTGACGCTGGTTTCTGTGGCAGTTTGCAAAGCTGAGTGCTGAGCTGACCCATGCCAACTCCCTGGGCTACAACGGGGCCATCCTGCAGGCCTTGGCCGTGCACCTGGCACTGCAGGGAGAGCTCAGCAGGGAAACCTTCCTGGAGCAGCTCATCAGCCACATGGAGCACGTGGAGGCAGATGACAAGTCTCTCAGTGACGCCCGAGCGTGAGTAGCTGTGGGGAGGCTCCAGCTGTGCCGTGGGGATTGTTATGTTCCCTCCTCTTCACTGCCCTCTCTGCTTCCAGGCTGGGATTTGAGGATTTGCCATTTTCCAGGCGTCTGAAGAAAATCAAGGAATTCTTGGAGCTCAGCAGCGTTCCCAAGGCAGATGTATTGTTTGAGTTGGGTAAGCACCTTTCCTACTCCAGGTATTAGGGAAGAGCTGGCAGCAGGAGCAGCTCAGCAAGCCTGGGAGATGTGTCTTCCCTCAGACTGCTCGTTGGTCTGTGCTGTCTGTTGGGCATGAAATGTGCTGGAAGAGCTGCCAGTGCTCACCAGTCAGGAATTCTGAGTCTCGTCTCAGTGATTCCTTCTCTGTGTTGACGGGAAAAGAATGTCTTTCTAAGGAAAACTTACCTTGCATAATGTTTATTAATGTTCCAAGATCTCCTAATGGTTGTTGGCTCATCATGTTGGACAGGATGGGTAGACCATGCTGGTGTAACTGGGAGTTGCTCTCCAGGATGAGAGGAAACTGGGGGTATCTCTGGGGCACAACCCTTTGTGCCATGTACTGGCAAAATCCACCGTCCTGTTGTGGATAGTCACTGGCAGCAGGAAGCCACAGCTGGGAGGGAGGGGCAGGATGCCCTGGGTGCTGTGGGTCCCCGAGGTGCTGACTGGGTGCTGTGGGTCCCCAGGGTGCTGACTGGGTGCTGTGGGTCCCCAGGGTGCTGTGGGTCCCCGGGGTGC